AACACTAAATAAAAGAAAAAAATAAAATTTCTTTGTCTCTAGCGTGATAACGTAATTTGAAGCAGTTCGTATATGACAATATTTTGAAATAGAAATTATAGACGATATGTTATATACGAATTACAACCTGAAATTATCGAACCCTTTCCTTGCTTCGCCTTCGGGGAATAAAATTGTCGAGATAACTTTATCGCTAGTTCGATATGTTCAAGAGCATGCATACAGGAACGGTTTCAAAATTGTGGACACAATATTGAATCCCACTCAATAATTAATGACTTTGTCGTTATTCTCTGTACCAGAGGCGAAAAATATCGCACTTTGGGTCTAATTTCAGCAAGAATATATGCATGCCTCAAAAGCTGTTTAAATCCGAGAAAGCGCAACAACACTTCCAAGCATTTCTAAACAATAATACCAGTGATAACGTTATTTTCGTTCTGAAAACTGCACAGCAAAGCTATAAAATATATTTCAAATACATACTTTCAATAATTTCTTCGGTAACATTGCACTTTGGCTTTCCCCATACCAATGTAATTGCAGTCGTAAATAAGAATACATACAACCACTTCATCTTGGTTGGAAACTCTAGCCAAATCACATCCCTAATAAAAAGATTTTATTCTAAACTCTGAATTGCATTATTTAAAAACAATAGTGAGAATAATCTGCATATAGACATCTGAAGAATGACACAAGCTAAGATAGACAACTCAATCATAAAATTACACGCGCCAAAATCAATCTGAGATTGAGATAAAAAGTCACAGTTAAAGTTACAATACAATATTTAAAGTTAATTAGTTAAAGTTATAAATCATTTCCATATGTCGTCTGCCTTTTGCAAGCAATTTTGTAGCCAGAATTTTTCCTAATTTTAAGAAATTATTCTGTCTTTGTCTGCCCCCACCCCTTCCTACAGTGAAAAATTATTTGGTTTGCATAAGCACTTTATCGGCCTTAATGTGATTCCAATCAAATTCAGCCACTTTACATACGCTCTATCTATATAATATATATCACAGATTCCAGTCTCTGCCATGCATCTTTACTCTTGTACAAATGGACAAGAGTTTAGGGTTTTTGGGGGGTTTTATCCGGTGTAAAATAAGGTTGTCAAAATCCAGGTCTAAATTTCAACAGGATGTATTATAATATTGACTTGGATGTATATAATGGCCTACTCAAAATTAGACGGAACGACTTTTTATATTATTTTATATTTTGTGCGTTACCATCCTAATAGAACAATTTTTCAACAAAGACCGTATGTTAACGCAAAGTATAATGATTTCAGATCTAAATAATCCGTTCAAGCGAGATTATAGGCCTTTGAATTAAGCAAAATCCACCAAAACGAGGCTAGTCTAAATCTAGCATAAGCTTCGCCGATATTTTTAAGATTTAATTGCTCCAAAAGAATACATGGTATTATATTTATATTTCATAAATCTGAAAGTCTTGAAGTATTCAATGAGACACCAGTGATCATCTTGGCTGAAATTAATTTTGGGAGAAAAGATAATTACTATATTTTGTTTCTGGTGTGTGAAATTGTTATGTTAGTCGAGTTAAATCTCAAATTTTGATTTATTTTTTTAGTGTAAGAAACGTTAATTTATTTCCAATGTTTGGTTCATTTTGTGTTCAATAAACCTTTTTACATGGCTGTAGGGCTAAGTGTCTTAAATCCCTAATTTTCGGATTTTCCTGGGGGTTTTTCGTAGTCGAGAAATCGAGTTTGCGTTAGCGCATCGCAGGCTCAGGGTACAACGTTTAAGCCAAAATACCATCGATTCCTCGGCTCCACCATTCAAATACTATAGTAACAAGCTCGTATTTATGTACGTTATAGCCGGCTCATGCCGTGCTTGTGGTACATTTTTCGTTTATTAGTCCATACACTTGTGCGCGCGCACACAATTCCAAACTCCATGGGCAGAGTGCTCCAGTGACATGTTCAGTTCAGTTACAAAATGGCGGCTTTACACTGAGCGATATATATATATATATATATATATATATATATATATATATATATATATATATATATATATATATATATATATATATATATATATATATATATAAGATGTTGTCTGCCGCGGCTGGGTCTTGAACCTGCGACCTTCGAATTACTAGATCGACGCTCTACCAACTGAGCTACACGGTCAGACGGATTTAAGACTGGAAATTATGAAATATATACTGAATGTCGTAAACATACTCGTTTATATTAATTCAGCAACGAACAATACTAGTTCTGCAAGTGTTATGTTAGTTGTGTAATTGTACACAATATATATATATATATATATATATATATATATATATATATATATATATATATATATATATATATATATATATATATATATGTATATATATATACATATAGTATTTGTAAGTTTTGAACGCTGATTGGCTAAGAGCCGTGTTGATATAACTCAATGTCAACACGGAAACGTGAAAAAATTTCTTTCTTTATATTCCTTTGTGCTATATTATAAAAAAATACAAAACATTTTTTTCCGTATTAATACATAGTTATATCAACACTAGTGGAAATTGTGAAAACTCGAAATTGTGTGAAAACACTCTGCCCTTCGGGCGTCGTGTTTCCACACAATTTCTCGTTTTCCCAATTTCCACTCGAACACTCGTGTTGATATAACTGTATATCAACACGGAATATGTTTTATATTTGTTAAATATTTCACACAGTTTCGTTGAATTTTCAAAGAATTGCGCCGGTTTCCTATATGGATTTTACATTGTGCCGCACGCTGGACTCTCTTGCGTGTTGAATTAATGTGTTTTTCTTTGTGTCACAACTCGAAAATCCCAAAATTTAAACCCGGCGAATTTATACAATATAGTGCAATATAAACAAGGACAAGTTAATAAGGTTTGACAGTTAGACATTTTATTAAACAACTATATATAAATATACGTTGTAGACTCATAAACATCCGTTTGTGCACTTGTGTTTATTTGCATAATTATAGATTGGCACCTAATTACATTAATTTGCACCAAATTACTTTCCATTTTATTATATATTACTATAAAAATGTTTTTTCGATTGTATTCAGCGACGTGGCGTTGCGTGCGGCGAACTGAAACGTGGTACGGTTCGACTTGTTTTTGGAACAAGATCCAACTCCCCCCCCCCCCCCTTTTTTAATTCTCAAATTGTTTATTAGTCAAACACTGGTTGGGGTTGGAGAAGGGTTTGGGGTTGGGATCAGTTTATCTTATAAATGGAAGCAAATTGGCGTAGTTGGAAGAATCGACTATGTCTATGAACGTTTTTTAGCACCTGAAACGAGCCATATAATGGCATTAAAAATCAAGGACTATATAATTTCTTCGCTAAGATTGGCCCATCATTATTTACGGTTGATAGTTGATGATCATAGTTACAGTGGGCCTGGCTTGCCAGGTTGAGTTGCCCGTAGCCGGAGGGCACGCCTGAGCCGGCGTCTTGGTATATTATGGTTGATAATTGCTGATCATGATTGTATTCATTATTGGTTAAGTAGTATTTATATGGTCCAGACCTCCTGTATCTCTATCTCCTTCTCTACTACACATTACACCCTACCACGAAAGTTGCCATTTTCAGCCCAGTGTGAACGCCTGAGCAGGCGTCTTGTTTCTTCTAAACTGAAAGTTAGTTAATATATTAATCCTGACAGCGAAAATTTAACAAACTAAACCTCGGCGGAAAAAACATGCATCGCTGCCGCGAGGAAATGACCCTGGGGCCGGTTGTTCAAAGGTGGATTAACGCTAACCCTGTGTTAAGATTTATCCAGCTGTTTTAGTTTGTGTAGCTATTTCTCCACGCTGTTTTCAATTTCAAAACTTCGGAGAAGTAAACTTGTAAACTCCTATCAATCCAGACAAGATCTCTGAAGAAATATTTCCAAATTTATAGGCAAGCTGTCAGGAAGTTTGGTTTGAAGTTTTGGTTAACCTAGCCGTTAACGGCTAACCCAGCTTTGAACAACCGGCCCCTGATTGACAACTTTACACGATGGCCGGTTGCTATGCAGTTTGCTCCCGGATTCAAATTGCGCACGTATATTGGTTTCCGGTTTCCAAGCTGTGAATTATGGCGCGGTTCAAATACTACGTCTTTGGCGCTCCTGTTTGCGTTTATTTTTCAACGTTTTAAAACGATACTTACTCAATCTGTACTACATCGAACCGTCTATTAGCTCGTGTGTGCAAATGACCTATCCGTACGGTTATTTGAAAACGGCAAAATGTTGGTGTTGTTGTAGCCATGTATTTTCGCCTTTTGGGCGATGAGAATCATGCTGAGAAAGACAAATTACTGTCTAGGGGTCCCACAGCATCCCACGTGCATGGCCTACAATCCCCCCTTGAAAACCCTGCTGAATTTGCAGTGTAGAAAACATTAATCTAGTGCATGACGTTTTACATTACACATTTATTTACTTTTAATAACATTATTGGTTCTGTTATAATCACGTGAGCTGTCACGTGAGCTGTCACGTGGTGAGACGATTAAAAAGACACGTGTAGGGCAATCGGAAGTTAGTTGGGATAAAACGGACAACATGTAAATTTATGTTGCGTTATTTATATTAAAATAACTATATAAAAAGCAAGTGTGAGATTGCTTTTTACATGGAGCCCGATAGGGGACACGGCAGAACATCATACGGAATACGAGGTATCAATAATTGTGCGTTTAAGTCGACGACAGTGTTACAGTGAACACGAGTCTGTGAGTCATTCGCGAGCGTGTCGGTTGGTCGATATCGTGGTTAGAGGTAAATTCTTTCCTTTTGAGAGATCCCTTTGGGGTTGTACATTGTTCTGAAGTGTATATGTTTTATGATATAGTAAATGTTAGAAATTCTATATATTTTTTGTGTCTAATTGTCATACGTAGCGTTGTATTGTAAAAACGCGTCCACAGTGTGTATTGTGTAGTCGGTATCTCATATTTCATATTTGTCATGGAGGAAAAATTAGCAAGGGCTAAAGGCAGACACCTTGGTCTCGGCGCGTATTTGAAAACTCTTTTAAGTAAATTAAACGAGTATGTTTCTTCGGAAAGCGGTGATTGCGAGCAATCTAAACTCCTTGGGTTGAGAAACAATGTGGCTAGTATCATCGAACAATTGGCGACTGTGCACAATGAAATATTATCCTTGATAGATCCAAAGGACATTGAGCCGGAAATTATTCGTCACATGAAAGCTTTAGAACCTTGTCACCAAGTTTTGGCAAAGGCGGATTTGAAACTTGAAGAAATTAAGCAAGGGCAAAGTAATATTAATAGCGCAAGTTATTCCTTAGGTGCAGCCGGTTTAAGCACAAATAGAAGTCCTGCGCATTGTAAGCTGCCAAAATTAGCATTACCAGAGTTTACGGGGGAACCCTTAGATTGGCAGGGGTTCTGGGATCAGTATCAAGTGTCGATCCACAGTAATATAAACATAAGTGATATTGATAAATTCAATTATTTAAAAGGTTGTGTGAAAGGGGAAGCTCTTGCGGCTATTTCAGGGTTGACTTTAACTTCAGATAATTATCAGGAGGCAGTTCAGGTTTTAAAGGATAGATT